GAAAGACATTCCGATTCTCATTTTTACTTCAAGGTGGGTAATTCTGTATGAATTCCGTAGATAATTTTCTTTTTCTTTGGCAACAGATAAGCTTAGCCTCAGTTTGTTTGAAATTGCTGACAGCTGCGTATAAACATTTAGGAACCAATCCTGGTCATCCCTGATTCATAATAAACATTGATCTTGGCCATTTTTAAAGCCTGTTTTTCCTCTCTTTGCATCTTCTATCTGCCATTCAAGTAGAACCTTCTTACTGTTCAAGCATCATAGACTCATGGCAGTCTTTCTGTAACTCCAAGTGGATTTTGATGGCAAATTAAAAACCTTCTGTGACTGTCAAATGAGCAGAAGACACCAGGTGACATGGGGTGCAAGTTATCTATTCCCAGAGTAAGAAAATGTCCCTGTGTACAAACCCATTCGCCTTATGTACCTTCACCCCTCTAACTTCTGTAGCACACTGTCCATAGGATTTGGGACCCTCTGACATGCAGGAGTTTTGGGCCCTGGATTTGGGTCCAAACACTGCCCTCTGCCTATTTAAGTGATGTGACCTATGAGAGCTGACAATTTTTCCAAGCCTCCTTTTCCTCTTCTACAAATGCAGAAAATAATACAAACTCAGGTTTTATTAAATCAGCTAAACACATAGTAGAAGCCCAAGCATTAACAGCTGATATTGCTAATATCAGTTATTATTATTATCACAGCTGTCATTAGTCTTATTTGTATGTGATGTATAGTTTCTTGTTCTAGCGGCTATAAATCAAAATGGGAATTGGTTAATTTTTGGAAGGATACCTAATTTCTTTCTTTTTCTTTAATTTTTTAAATATGAATGGATCATAATATTTTCTTCTGAAATTTATTTTATTTGTTGTTTTTAGATATACATGACAATGGAGTGTATTTGGACATATTATACATACATGGAGTATTGCTCATTTTAATAAGGATCCCCCTTTTGTGGCTGTACATGATGTGGAGTTTCACTGTGGTGTATTCACACATGAACATAAGAAAGTTATGTCTGATTAATTCTACTGTCTTTCCTATTCCATCCCCTCTCCCTTCCCTTCATTCCCCTTTGTCTAATTCAATGAACTTCTATCATTCCCTCCCCCCTTATTATATGTTAGCATCAGCAGATCATTCACATATTTGGCCTTTGGATACCTACTTTCTTAAAACTGATTGAATTAGTTTATCTTAGTCTAATATGGAACTTTGTTGTTTCAGACTAAAAATTGGACTTAGAGAATCCCAAATTACAGATTTTTTTTTTTTTTTTTTGCGGGGGGTGTGTATACTGGGGATCAAACTCAGGGGCCCTTAACCGCTGAGCCAGTTCTCCAGCCCTATTTTGTATTTTATTTAGAGACAGGGTCTCCCTGAGTTGCTCAGTGGGTTCACTAATTTGTTCAGGCTGGCTTTGAACTCACCATCCTCCTGCCTCAGTCTCCCAAGCTGCTGGGATTGCAGGCATGCACCACTGTGCCCAGCTTAGAATATTTTAAAGAAGTATATGTGTTGTCAAAAAGGAACAACAACAAGAAAAATATGGTCATCAGAACAAAAGCTGCTCAAGTTAGGAACAGTAGCCATCTTTCAGAATAAACGGGATTGGGTTAAAATACAAGTATTGTTAACATCTGAACAAAGGCTTCTTTAGTCGAAAGTTTTAAGCACGAGACACCCTTCAGGTATCCCCTCACACTGTGAATTTGCTGCTTGTCATGAAAGGTATAAATATGCATTGTTAGTTTCCCAATCACAGCCTGTCATGGTGGGATTGGGACTGACAGGGTACATCCCTACAGATGTACATGCAGCCTGCCTTGTGACTTGTTGGACTCAGGCTTAAATTAACTTTTATCTGCTAAGTAATGAGCACATCAGTTTTTTAATATCGCAGAAGTTTCATCTTGAAGCCTTTCCTATTTTTATTACTAGAATCATCCCCACCTCGGTCCCTCCCTTCCCCGCATGTAATAAAACAAAAGCTACCTGGTGTATTACACAACTCAGGATTTCATTAGATCCTGCTGGGTGGGAAAGACTATTTACACAGAGACAGAAGAGCATGCCTTTACAAGATGATTTCATAGAAGCAGAATGGGGTTTTATAGAATAAAAATAGATCTTTTCCCATTTATGGGCCAGCTAGCTGGGCCAGCTTCCTCTTTCTAGAAGTCAGAGCATTTCCCTGGACTTGAGAATTCTCTGAGAATGTTTCCATGTCCCCAGGAAATGGATGCATGCTGGGGTCATGGTATATGCATGGCCATCTCTTTTTTTCTATGTACCTACCTACCTGCATCATGGGAGAAATGAGACCACTTAGGTGACTCTGTACTCTGTTAAAGCTTTTTTTTTTTTTTTAAGACTACTGGCTCCAATCTAGGATGAAATAAAAGTACCCTTACCCAAATGTTTAAGTTCTTCTTTTTACTCCATATTCTCTAAGTTAACCAATTAAAGTGCTGCAAATCTGAACTTTTATCTAGTTCAACTTAAGCAGAGTTGTAAAAACACACCTTTCTCCCAGTTATCCTTCTATGATTATTTCAAGGTTCAGTTCTCCATCATGTGTGGATTAGAGGTTTATAAAATTTATTTTACTTGCATGCTCCCTGAAAGAATTTCCAAAAAACTATGTGACTACTTGTGTAAAGTCAGCACTTAATTTTGTTTTTCGTGAAAGTTTTAATAGTTGCGGATATTGTAATTTCTGGCACGTTCTCAGTATTGACATTTAAAAGTATAGCTGTGATCTCAATTTTTAAACAACACAATATTTACTTGATTTTTTGATCATCCATTAAAATTTATAAATAAATTCTTCAACAGTTGGAAAATTTGCTTCTTTTGTTCCCTCACAGAATTACAGATATAGCATTTTTGAAAGAATTTTATATTTCTTTATTTATATTTCTATTATATTGTGTGTTTTTTAATTTTATATTTCTATGTGACAAAAATATGTATACAAACTTAAATTACTTTTTAACTACATATGATCCTAAGGACTTAAGTATTATAGTTCCCTTTTGATTGGGCAATCATTACAAGAATTATTAATGCACAATTTTCCAAAACAAAAAAATGTATTACAAATTTTATAAGTAATCTTTAAATAATTACTGAAATTTAAAAAGTAAAAATTTCATTGAAAATTTATATTTCTTGGATGGGCTGTTTTTTTTTTTTCTTCAAACAGTTTATAAATATTTGGCAAATATTATCATCATTTTCTAGAATGGGACATGATACAGCATAGATTTGATTGCCATTTTTTTATGTTATAGCTGTATATGTTGACAAAGTTTGCTTGTATAAATGAGTAGGTGGGAATAGATGGACTTTTGTCATAGCAATATCATTAATTTCCTTATATTTAATTTATGTGCCCTGATTACATGGTTATCTATCATCAAAATTTATTTTAGTTTATTTTTAATTTTTAAGAATTATTTTAGCTTTCTCTTTATACATCAAAAATTGTTTTTTAATGCTTTATCAACTGATGAGGACTTTTAATTTTATTGAAAGCAAAACATTGAAAATCTCCTTATGTCCAAAAAAAGTATATTAGCCAGGCATAAGGCTCCTCACTTTTTCAACAGAGTACCAACATTTCAAATGATTCTTTTTCTTTAGTGCCTCAAGTGTGTTGTAAATCTACTGAGTGGTAAGATTTGGGATGGTATGGAAGGATGCTTTTCTTTAAAATGTGAGTAGACGATCATTATAATTTGGATAGTCAATGTTCCCCAAAGGCCAATATGTTCCAAGTATGGTCTCCAGGGTGGTGCTGGTGGGGGGTGAACCCTGGGGGAGGTGGGATCTTGGGGGATTCATTAAATCAAGGGATTGTTGGCCTCTGAACCCCTCCTCTGTTGCTCTCTTTTCCTTCCTGACCTTGACATGAACAATTTTCTGTCACATACTTTCACTATTTGGTGTCCCCACCCGGGGCTGGAATCTCTAAAACTGTGAGTCAAAATAAACCTTTTTCTCTTTATATGTTAATTACCTCAAGTGTTTTGTTATAGTCATTTTTTAAAAGTTAAATGTGATTAAAAAAAGAAAGCGCTGTCTTCAGAGTCAGGGCATTCTCAGGAAGACAGATTTTATGCAAATATATACATAAAGATTGGGAAATGTGATTTTTTTTTTTTTTTGCACCAGGGATTGAACTTATTGGTGCTTAACTGCTAAACCACATCTGCAGCCCTTTTTTATATTTTATTTAGAGACAGGGTCTTACTGAATTGCTTAGGGCCTCCATAAATTGCTGAGGCTGGCTTTGCACTCTTAATCCTCCTGCCTCAGCCTCCCAAACTGCTGAGATTACAGGCCTGGGCCACGGTACCCTGTGGGCAATTCGAAATTTATTTCCTTAAAATTACCCATGCCCGTGTGCTCATCAGAATTTCTGAATCCTTCTAGATTATATGCATGCCCATGTTTGGATATGCTGGGTTATATTGATTTCACCTGTAGGAGTCCTTGGCCCATTCTACAAAGCAAAGGAAAGTGGGGGTAGAGAGAGAGAGAGAGAGAGGGAGAGAGAACAAATTTCATCTTAAAGTAAGTTGCACTCTGCCCAGACTATCATGAACAGAGGAAATAACACATTTTGAATTCGCACAAATCATACCGTCTACATAACCAGTGATCAAAAGGACCAAGTCCAGAATGCTGGGATCATAAGTGAATCCAAAGCAAGCCTCACCACTCCTTCCTCCCTCTCAGGAGATTTCCAGCCACTTATTTCAGAAGGGTTTCCAGCAGGTCTTGGGCCACATTTCCAAAGGCAGGGGGTGGGGGGACTCAGGAGAGGGACAGGCATCACACACTTGTCCCCATCCAAGAGGTTTGGATGAAGAGAGAAAAATGATCTCCTTTCACATCCCTGCCCCCAGGGCCTAGGTCCCCGGGACACCTTTGCAGCCTTTGCCAAAAAAGCGCCAGAGGACAAAGAGAAAACCACTCACGATCAACGGGCCCCGGTTGTTTTCTCGGTACTTGTTCTGGAAGAAAATGTAAACCACGGTGGCGGCCAGAGAGTAGAGGAAGGCGAAGACGGCGACCGTGACGAAGAACTCGGCCGAGGACGAGGAGTCGCCGATCAGAGCCAGCTTCTGGCGCTCCTTGCCCTCGCAGGTGGGCACCTCGAAGGTCACCTGGTGCAACCTACACGGCAGGACAGAGGAAGAGGCTCTTTAAGGGCTCCCAGCTCTGGTGTCCTGGACCCTGGCTATGTCCCCCAGCTCCTTCCTCTTCTGCTTTGAACTGTCACCTGATTGCAACCTCCATGCCAGCCCCCCCCCCACCTTTGGGGGGCTTCTCAGTTATGCCAAGCATGGTCCTGAGTGTCTGGTCATGGACAGCTCTCTTTCCCTAAATGACTCTGCCCCTGATCTTTCCCATGCTGTCTCCTTGGTATTCAGGCATCAGCTTGAACACCCTCCTGGGAGAGGATTTGGCTGAGCATTGATCAAGAGTAGTTCCGTTGGCTGGTTGAGGGAGCGGGTGCCTGTCATCCCAGCCACTGGGGAGGCTGGGGCAGGAGGATGGCAAATTTGAGGTCAGCCTCAATCATTTGGTGAGGCCCTAAGCAATGTAGTTAGACTTCATCTCAAAATAAAACATAAAAGGAGCTGGGGGGACTGGGGTTGTGGCTCAGTGGTAGAGCGCTTGCCTTGCATGTGTGGGGCACTAGGTTCAATCCTCAGCACCACATAAATAAATAAAATAATAAAATAGAGGTATTGTGTCCATCTATAACTAAAAAAAAAAAAGAGAGAGAGAGAGAGAGCTGGGGATGTGGCTCAGTAGTTAAGTGCCCCTGGGTTCAATCCCCAGGACCAAATAATGATGATGATGATGACAATAATAATATAAAAAGTAGCTCTTTTGCTTTAGACATCTTCCACCACATCACACTGTTTAATCTTATTTGCAGCAGTCATTACCAGGCAATGACTGGTCATGAATGAGTCTCTTATCTCCATGATAGTGGGGCATCTTGGTTTTCTTCTCAGTATCCCCCAAATCCAGCCTCTGTTAGGCACTCAGTATTTGGAGAAGTAAATGAGCATTCTTTTTTTAAAAAATAATTTTTTAAAAATATACATTTTTTTCTATTTTGATAAAGGTACAGTTTATCTATTTTTTTCTTTTATTATTAATTCTTTTGATATAACATGTAAGTCCAAATCCAAGATTATAAAGATTTTTCCCTTCCAAGAATTTTATGATTTTTTGGCTCTTATACTTTGGTCATTGATTTATTTTGGTTTCATTTTTATAAGTGGTGTAATGTAGCTGTCCAACCTCATTCATTGGCATGTTTTCCCTGCACAATTTGTTGATGAAACTGTTGTTTTTTCCATTAAAGGGATTTGCACCATTATCAAAAATCAATTGGCCATAAATATAGGGATTTTATTTTGAACCTTGACTTCTGTTCTGTAGGCCCACATGTCTGTCCTTACGAATGTACTACACTGGTTTGATTACTGTAAATTAGAGTTACAAAATTAGGAAGTGTGAGTCCTTCAACTTTGCTCTCTTTCTCAAGAATACTTTGAAAAAGTATTCTGGGCCCTTTGCAATTCCATATGCGATTGAGGATCATCTTTTCCATTTCTCAATAAAAGATTGTTGGGATTTTGATACAGATTGAATTCAATCTCTCAGTGTCTTTGGGCAATAGTAATATCTTAACAGGATTGAGTCTTTTAATGCATGAATGTGGTGTTTCCTTCTATTTAATTTTGATAATTTAAGTGTTTTAATGATAATTTAAATAATTATTTAATTTATTTCAGCATGCTTTATACTTTTTTATGCTTTATAACTCTTAGTGTATAATCTTTATCTTCCTTGGATAAATTTATTCCAAAGTAGTTTATTCTTTTAAATTATTATCAGTGGAATTATTATCAGTGGAATTATTATCAGTGGAACAAAATGGAAGAAAATATCTGAAAATTGTTTATCTGATAGGGCATAATATGGAGGACATATAAAGAACTAAAAATCAGTAACAAAAAGATAATGCAACTTAAAAACAGGCAAAGGACTTGAATAGACATTTGTATGAAAGAGACATACAAATGGCCATAATATCCTTCAAAAGATGCTAAACATCACTATTCACTAAGAAAATCAAATCAAAATCACCTCTACCTTCAAACTCACTAGGATAGCTATAATTTTACAAAATGAACAAAAGGTGTTGGTAAGGATATAGAGAAATTGAAATCCCCTTATATTGCTGCTAGGGAATGTAAAATTATATGACACCTATGAAAAATAGTTTTGTGGTTCCCAAAAAACTTCAACATAGAATTACCATATGATCTACTGATTCCACTTCTAGATTTACACCCAAATTGAAGAGTCAAAAATAGGGAATCAAATAGACACTCACATCCCAATGTTCAATGAAGTATCATTTCAACATTAACATGATATACACAATGCCAGCATCCATCAACAGATAAATGGATGAATAATATGTGCTATAGATATACAGTGGAATATTATTCAACCATAAGAATAAATGAAGTTCTGTTACAGGCTACAACCTGAATGAAATATATCATCCATGCAAAGTGAAATAAGTCAGATACAAAAGGATATGCATTATATAAGTCTGCTTACATGAAATCTCTAGAATAGGCAAATTCATAGAGACAAAAAGCAAATTAGACATTATTAAGAGGTGGGGAAGGGGAAATTTAGAAGTTATTGCTTAATGGTTGTATAGTTTCTGTTCAAAATCATGAAAACTTTGGGAAATAAATCATGGTGACTGTACAACAACAAAAAAAAAAAAAATAATAATTTTTTTAGTTGTTGATGGACCTTTATTTTATTTGTTTACACATGGTGCTGAGGATTGAACCCAGTGCCTCACACATGCTAGGCAAGTGCTCTGCCACTGAGCCACCAGCCCAGCCCCCAGTGTGAATGGGCATTCTCGAGTCTGTCTATCAGGATGACTGATAGTCTGATAGTCCTAATTAGATGGGGCTTTTAAAACTTCTACTTTAAAAAGAAAGTTCTATCTTTTTAAAGTAGAAGTTTAATAGATTGCTTAATAGATTGCTTGGTAGAGAAAAATAAGATGCTAGAGCAATGCTTTCTGCTTAGCCAATGTCACCTAAGGAAGGTGACATCCAATAGTTTATGGCGTGAACTAGAACAAAGTGGTCAACTGGAACTCAGTCTAGAAACCAGTTCTCCAGAAAGGACCAGGAGGGAGGCACCTGGACAAAAAACATGAAGGAGGCTTATTTATATCAATAAAGCATCACTTGGAAAATTATGCACCTGGAAATTCACAACTTACCCTTAGAATTTTTTTTTTTTTTACTAAGCAAATTTTGGTCTTTTTCAAATAGATTGTTGTGCACATTTTCTTCCAATTTAGATAGCAATGGTCATGATTAAGTAATAATGATAATGACAACTAACATATTGGAACATTTCTTATGCACCAAACACTTGGGTTTTGAATACATGATTGAATTCAATGCCCACGATGAACCTGATAATGTAGTAACTTAACTGCACTTTCCCTTTGCAGATGAGGAAACCGAGGCGTACAAGAGTCAGGTAATTCTTCCTAAGGAACATAGCTCATGATTATTGAGCCAGGGATTTAAATCTGCTTCTGAGTTCAGAGTCAGACCTTTTAACATCTATGTTAACCTGTTTATATTAAGTAATGAAGACATTAACTCGCAGGAATTTTTTTTTTTCAAAGTGAAACCTGTGGACTAATGGCCTTAGAAACTCTAGGCATTCTAGCATACATTCAAGGGCCCCATTTCAGACTTCCTGAAACCTCTAGGAGAGAGCCTAGTTGGCAGCTAGAGCAGACAAAAATCCAGTTCACTTAATTTTTTTTCTTTTTCTCTTTCTTTTCTTTCTTTTTTTTTCTTTTTGGTAACAGGGCTTGAAACTACAGGTGCTTAACCTCTGAGCTACATCCTCAGTGCTTTTTATTTATTTATTTATTTTGAGGCAAGGTCTCACGAAGTTGGTTGGGTCCTTGACTAGCCTCAAACTTGTGATCCTCCTGCCTCAGCCTCCTGAGTCACTGAAATTATATGCATGGACCACTATGTCTGGCTTGCCCTCCCTCCCTTCCTTCCTTCCTTCCTTCCTATCTACTGGAAATGGAATCTAGGAGTGTTTTACCACTGAACCACATCCCCAGCCCTCTTCATTTTTTAATTTAATTTAATTTAATTTAAATTTTTATTCATTCCTTCATTTATTTATTCAGAGACAAGGTCTCACTGAGTTGCTTAGATCCTCACTAAGTTGCTGAGGCTGGCTTTGAACTCACCATCCTCCTGCCTCAGCCTCCTAGCTGCTGGGATTAAAGGTGTGCACCACCATGCCCAGCCAATTTCTTTATTTCTTAAAAGCATTCATTTTTTTGTTTGTTTGTTTACTACTTTACTAAAGAAAGAACTATCTACAAAGTCCTTTTGATTTTCCTTGTGGCTATGGAGCTTGTCCACAGTCCTTTCCTTAACAAACACTGAGGTGTTCAGCTGCAGTAAAATTCAGGAGGTGGTTATTTGGCAGAGCCCCTTTTCTGCCTTGCTGGGTATACGGAAATATTCCTCAACAATTTTTCCTGTAGGAATATTTAAAAATGAGGGAGATTGAAGAGGTAGGTACTCATGTCAATTCTGAAACAGGTGATTCGGAGTTCACACCCTTTCTCTGTGTTTAATGTCATTCACTTAACACAGTTTTTGACAGTCAGCAACTCTATGCTTTACACAATGGCTGATGCTGGGGTGGGGTGAGGAATAAGGAGATGGAATGATCTCTGTTTAGCTTGAACGAAGCTATTTCCTTTACAGAGAGATGATAGATTTTCTGAGAGGAGCCCTTGCCCAGTCTGGGGGTGGGAGGGTCCGGGTAAACCTCCCTTGTGAGAGCCATCCTTCCTCTGCAGCTTGAACATGAGTAGAAATTACCCAGATCTAAAGTTAAGAAAGGAAGCGCAATAAGATCCCATTTTGCATCCACTAGGTTGACAACACCAGACAAGATTACAGGATGGCAGTCTTAACAGGCGTTGGCGGGGATGTGGGGAAATTGCAGCGATCATACATGGTCCATGGGAAAGTCAAATGGAGTGCCCACTTTGGAAGACA